CGCGTGGTTGTCCCCGCCCACCGTCACCTGCTCCGTCTGCGTTCGGGATGAGCCGGGGTGAAATGTCACCGCTTGGGGACTTCGGCCTCCCCGCACACGCCCCGCCGGTGGCACCCGGCGAGGGGCACCCACCTCTTTCAACGTCGTTTCTACTAACGTGGGGAGCTTGGCCAACACCTCCTTCACCTGCACCAGGATCTGCGGGGACAAAAAGTCAGCGGAGGTGACAAAGACGGGGACGTGTGGCACTTGGGGACAGGCCGGAGCCCAGTAGGGGACTGGGGGGAGTCTGGGGGAACTGGGGTACCTGGTAGGCACATTTTCTGTGGAGTTTCTTCTGCTCCTTGTACCACTGCATCAGCTCCTTCATGAAAGCCAGCGTCACCTTGCCGCCATCCAGCTTGGGGCCGCTGTATTCGTCCTCGATGGCTGCGAAACGAACCCCACCCCCCCGGTGGCCGATGACGCGAGGGGACAGCGGGGACAAGTCCCCCCAAGGGCCACCGTGTCCCTGCTGTCCGTCCCCGCCAGCTCGCAGCCCCTGACGAACGCCGGCGGCCTGCTGGGGATGCTGAGCCTTGGCTGGGGACGTTCATGGGGACCCCAAAGCTCCGCTGGGCGCCCTCATGGCGACCCCGAGGTGTTCATGGGGACCCCGAGGCCCTCACTGGGACCCTGAGGCCCTCATGGGGACACCAAGACACACAGGGACCCTCATGGGGACCCCGAGACCCTCACGAGGACGCCAAGACCCTCACAGGGACCCCGAGACCCTCACAGGGACCCTCATGGGCCCCCCATGGAGACCCTGAGACCCTCACTGGGACACCAAGACCCTCATGGGGCCCCGAGACCCTCACGGGGACACCAAGACCCTCATTGGGATGCCAAGACCCACACGGGGACCCTGAGACCCTCACTGGGACCCCCATGGGGACCCTGAGACCCTCACGAGGACACCAAGAGCCCCATGGGGACCCTGAGGCCCTCACTGGGACACCAAGACCCTCATGGGGCCCCGAGACCCTCACGGGGACACCAAGACCCTCATTGGGATGCCAAGACCCACACGGGGACCCTGAGACCCTCACTGGGACCCCCATGGGGACCCTGAGACCCTCACGAGGACACCAAGAGCCCCATGGGGACCCTGAGACCCTCACTGGGATGCCAAGACCCTCACGGGGACCCTGAGACCCTCACTGGGACCGTCATGGTGACCCTGAGACCCTCACTGGGATGCCAAGACCCTAACTGGGACCCTGAGACCCTCACTGGGACCCTCATGGGGACCCCGAGGCCCTCACAGGGACACCAAGACCCTCACGGGGACCCTGGGACCCTCATGGGGACACCAAGACCCCCATGGGGACCCTGAGACCCTCACTGGGATGCCAAGACCCCCATGGGGACCCTGAGACCCTCACGGGAACCCCGAGACCCTCACTGGGACGCCAAGACCCTCACAGGGACCCTCATGGGGTCCCTGAGACCCCCACAGAGACACCAAGACCCTCATGGAGACCCCGAGACCCTCACTGGGACCCTCACGGGGACCCCGAGACCCTCACTGGGACACCAAGAACCTCATGGGGACCCTGAGACCCTCACTGGGACCCCGAGGCCCTCACTGGGACACCAAGACCCTCACGGGGACCCCGAGACCCTCACTGGGACACCAAGAACCTCATGGGGACCCTGAGACCCTCACTGGGACCCCGAGGCCCTCACTGGGACACCAAGACCCTCACGGGGACCCCGAGACCCTCACTGGGACACCAAGAACCTCATGGGGACCCTGAGACCCTCACTGGGACCCCGAGGCCCTCACTGGGACACCAAGACCCTCACGGGGACCCCGAGACCCTCATGGTGATCCCAAGACTCTGCTGGGGATCTTCACAGGTGCCCCGAGACCCTCCCGGGGACCCTTCTGGGTAACCCAAGTCTCTGCTTGGGACTCTCATGAGGACCCCCATGGTTCCCCAAGACCCTCCTGGAGACCCCCACAGCTCCTCAAGGCTGTCCTTGGGACCCAGAGCCACTGCTGGGCCACCAAGACCCCCAGGGACCCCCCCCAGGGATCCCGAGCCTCCACTGGGGGCTCTCAAAGGGGCCCCAAGACCCCCATGAGGACCCCAAGCCTCTGCTAGGGACCCTCACAGACCTCCAAGACCCCCGTGGGGACCCTGAGACCCTCATGGGGACCCTGAGACCCTCATGGAGGCCCCGAGACCCTCACTGGGACCCTCACGGGGAC